TATAGACATTGTTATAATATGTTCATTCTTTTTTTTTTTTTTTTTTTTTTTTTTTTTTTTTTGCTTGATGACGATTTCGCTTAACAGAGATTTTCCTGGAATGGATTATCATCATGAAGCGGGGCACCACTGTATTGGTACACTTAAGGACAGGTTTCCTGGTCATCTTATCCTCACAAAAGAACACCATGTAGCCTTTATGGCTTCCCAGCTTCCCTTAAAAGAGAGTAAGTGTGTGTGTCCGTTTCATACTGCTTGAATTGCAGTAGTCCTATCATAAGGAAATGGGGGAGGGGAGCAGTGCCAATGGCCTGTGGGCCATCTTTTGTCCACTTATGACTGAGGGGCTCTGATATTTAAAGGCTACCTATGGTAATTTAAAGGCGGACATGACTTTGCTCCTTGGTGTACAAGTTGCATGTACCCAAACATTGCAAAATGAAGGCTTTAAACAGCAAGGATTTACAGTGGTACCTTGCATAGCGATTGCATCCTATAATGATGAAATCGCTTTGCGACGAAGATTTTGCGATCGCTTTTGCGATCGCTTTCCGATGTTCCCTATGGGGGAATTTTGCTTTGTGATGATTGGTTCCCTGCTTGGGGAATGGATCATGGCAAAGAAAACAGCTGATCGGCGCCTCGGGAGGAGGGAGGGAAGGAGGGGTGAAGGGCCTGGCCCTGATCCCCGTGCGCAGCACCCCCTGGGGTGCTGAGCCAGAGAGCAGTTGTGGCGGGAGGCGCTGCAAAGGAGGAGGAGCCCACCGGGGACCGGGATTTTGTGATGATTGGTTCCCTGCTTGGGGAATGGATCATGGCAAAGAAAACAGCTGATCGGCGCCTCGGGAGGAGGGAGGGAAGGAGGGGTGAAGGGCCTGGCCCTGATCCCCGTGCGCAGCACCCCCTGGGGTGCTGAGCCAGAGAGCAGTTGTGGCGGGAGGCGCTGCAAAGGAGGAGGAGCCCACCGGGGACCGGGATTAGGGTGGCAGTGGCTGGACGGGGCGGCGGCGCACCAGAGACCCCCTCCTCGCCCACCAAGGAGAACAGGCGTCCGGGTTGGTTCACTAGCGGTGGCTGGTGCACCCCTTCCCACCTCTCCTCCCCACCCCGGGCGACTGCCTTCCTCCAGCCCGCTGCTCGCCAGCCAAGGAAGCCGGGTGTCTCCCGGGCTAGCTGGCGAGCGGCATTAGGC